TGTATATCTCAAACAATTAATCATTTGTGATTTCGCTTATATATCTTGTAAATAAACTAAATAATAATGCATGTATTATATCTCAAATCAAATAATAAACAAAATGAGACTTGCTGTATATGATATCCAAAATAAATCTAAAACTTTTGGTACTATATATTATTATTTGAAGTAGCACTTGGAAAATTGGTATATGTATATATACGTATATATGTATATTCTGAAAGGAAAATAATAAAGTGGGTTTCCGACGTTCATAGAAAACATCGAAAAATTATATTAAAATGTATATTGAATAAAACAAATTTTATAGAAAGATGAATAATTGACTAGAGAATGCAGAAACGGATGACCTTATGCATTGTAAAAGTATTATTTTATACATTGTCGGTGTATTCATATAAGAAACTGTTTAAAAATACATTCATTTACTACGATATATTTTTTATAATTTTTAAATATTAATTTTAATAATTTTTCATAATTTTTTTCTCTTTATAAACATTTTTACAATTAAATATAACATTACAAAATAACATTTTATAATACTTTTATAAGTAGGGGCAATTTGGTAATCTTTATTTTCTACCAATTAAACAAATTTTTAAAATCTATCACATCAATCAAATCCTACACTAATTCTCACAAACTTTACTTCCAAATCCACTCTCAATTAACCACAAATCCACTCAAAAAACAACAAAAAAATTACCCACAAATCCACTCAAATCCATTCAAATCATCTCCCCCAAATCATCTCCCCCAAATTCTTTCAAAAGAACACACCCTTAATATCAAAATTATATTTCTGATAAGTGATAAAAAAATAAATTTCTCTCCAATTATTATCCAAGCCATTTACCACCCATTTTCAGTCTCACGTTTCTTAACCTAAGCCTAGCACTATCTTTTTTTTCTTGTCTCCTTCGTCTTTGTCTATTTCTACCACACTCTTGTATCTAATTTCATCTTGTGTCTCTCTTTTTCAACTTTTTTTAATAAATCATCATTGTTTGATTTTATTTATTTGTAAACGTTTAGTATAATTTAGATGAAGGTAAGAATAGATTAAATCATTAACCAGATTTCAAAATCCAGTATATATCTATTAGTGTTTTAATATTTAAAATTAAAAGAAACTAAAAGAATTGAACCACAAATTACATTAAACTTTGTAAATATGGTGTATATTCATTAATGTTTCAAATTTTAAAGTTCGATGAGTTTTTGAATTAGATTTCGAAATATGCACTAGTAAATAAACGACTTTTTAACTTACGTGTTACGCATCGGTTTTAAAAAATCAAAGCGTATAAAAAAGCGGTGGCAATTTTGTAATTCCGGCGACACTATATGTCTTGGTTCAATTTGAACTGATGTCTAAGGGGTATACTGCCTCGGTTCTCTGACCAATCGAGGCCAAAAACCCTACTTTTCATCTGACAACTTTTTTGAAATTGGTCTATTGCCTCGGTTCTCTGACCAACCGAGGCAAAAAATTCTGACAACTTTTTCGAAATAGGCCTAATGTCTCGGTTCTCTGACCAACCGAGGCAGTATGTCCTGCCAGAAACTGATTCTGAACGTTTCAAATGCATCTTGTCAACCTCTATTACCTCGATTCCATTTTAACTGATGTCATAGGCCCTTTATGCCTCGGTTTAGGCGCGAACCGAGACCTATAGTTAGTAGATATTTTCAAATTTTTCATTTTCAATTTTATTTTGAATTTTTTCTGAAAGGTTTACGCATCAGTTATTTTTATAACCGAGGTAATAACCTCTTTGATAGTTAAATTCCAGAAGCATAAACACAGTAAGCACATTTTCGGCCTTTCTTCTTCTTCTTCTGCCAGAGAACGCAAACTACTGCTTCCAATCTCGCCTGAATAGTTTGTCGCTCCGCCACCGCTGCCTCCACCACTGGTCATCGCTGCTGCCTCCACCATTGGTTGTCGTCTCCTCTGCTTCATCCTCATTGGCGTCGTCGCCTTCATCCTCCTAGTCCTCTTCCTTGTCTTCCTCATATGGGTCATCCTCCACGCTACCAAGCTCTGCTTCACCCTCCAAGACGCCACCCTCTTCACCTTCAACCTCTCTTCCCCCATCCCCAACACTCTCTCTCTCACCATGCAGGTCACCCTATCCGCCCACAACCCTAACTCCTGCATCGGTGTCTACTAACATGCACTCCACCTCCATGCCTCCTACCGTACCCAGCAGATCTCCCTCCCCACCGTCGTCCTCGACACCTACCAGGGCGACTTCACCGTCAATCGCCCTTTTTCTGAATAGGCAAAAGTCCCCATTTTTTTTTAAAAGAAGCATCTACCACCTCGGTTCGAATCCAATCGAGGTAAAAGAGCCCCACATACTGCCTCGGTTCAGAACTGAGGCAAAAAGGCTACCTCTTTTTACCTTGCTTGTATATACCTCGGTTCATGAACCGCTGCGTATAAACGAAAATAACCGGTGTCGTTTCCTTTTACTGCACTAGTGATGGTGTATATTCATTAATGTTTCAAATTTCTTTGTCTCATTTTCGGAAGTAATATGTTAGATATTAGTATTGTCAAAATGGGTTGTAATTCGTGAACTAACTCGATTCACCACGGTAGGTTGAGTTTGAAAAATATGTAATTTTTTTATGCGGGTTGGTTTTCAACCCAGCTCACTTAGAACTCAGCTAATCCGAGTTGAATTGGTGGTGAGTTGAGAACTAATTTAATTTAATTATTTATTATTTTGTGTTTCAATATTATTACTTAGCATTTTTTTATTATATTGTAAATGAGATAAAAAAAATATTATAGATTTATTTATTCAAGACTCTAATATTATAGATGGACAAATGATACAAAAATTATCAATATTAAAAACTTATTTATTCGCCTTTTATGTTTGTTTTTGGATTGTATGACTTTCTTTTATTTTAAATTGTTTTTGGAGTTAGAGTGAAATTGATTTAGATTTGAATTAAAAAATCTAATTTTTTATCAACCTGTTTAACTCACCAATCCGTAATGGGTCAAGCCGGATTCAAATTTTTTTAGCTCGCTAATAAGTGAGTCGAATTGATTTTGCTCGCTAGTGACAATAAAAGTATAAACTCTAATTTTATATTATTATGTAAACCTATTATAAATTGTTGGAAACATTATAGTGCCACCACACCATGCAAAAAATTATTATTAATTTAAAAGTAGACCATTTATTGTTAATTATTAATTCCCAATCTTTTGGTCATCTAAATGCGTTTTCACACGGCTCATCATATGAGGTTCTTTTAGGTACCCTCTTGTTTTGATCGCAATGTACAACGTGTTTGAACTAATATCCAGATATATTCCCCTTATCAAATGCCTGACGTTTTATTTTCAAATGTTTGATTTTTTAATTTATTTTTGGAAATATTTGTGTATGAAATTTGAATTCACTGATGTTGTTTTACAGTCAACTGCAAATGGTATTCCTGATCTTTTAAAGAAAAATATCGTGATGTTCTAAACTCTGTATTTTTTTGGTTTCTGAAAATTGCCAATGGATC